AAGGGCAGGGCAGGGCAAAAAAAAAGTGCCCTGTGACGGTCTCTGGTCCATACTAAGATATTTTATTTTTTCAGGCCAATCTAAGATTCGCCTAGATCAAACTAGGATAAATTTATCAAACAAGGCATCTGAATCCCAGTAACCGGATGATATTTGTCTTAAGTGTGCAAAAATTGGAGAAAATGAAAACGAGAATCATAGATTATGGGTGAGATGTAGATTGATACTTAAAAAACCTTATATGTGCTTATGTAATTATCGATGAATGATAGACGAAAAATCTTTTTCTGAGGACCACTGCTAAATTTCATCAGCTCGTTGGTGCATAATAGGCTGATTTAGATGAGATATCTGTGAACAGTGCATTAAAATTCTATTTTCGTAGCGCTATCAACGGTATCTGTTGTTAAGGTGAAGGAAGGTAAAACCAAGGACGTATTCAGGATTTTTCGATGGGGAAGGACGAAATCGAATTTTTTTGTAATGATATTCAAACAAGGAACTTTAAAAAAATATTTTGAAGTTTAAAAAAACAAGAAACTACAATGTACTCAGTGAAGTTTTTTCAGAGAGAGGCACCAAGCCCTCGTAGACTTCCCCCCCTTTAAATAGGTCCCCAAATGCGATAGCAACCAGGCATTTGAAAAAGTAACCCATTTCTCTGCTCGACATATAGCCATAAAAACTCTATATGCTGTAGAAATATGTAAGAAATAAAAGGATTTACTCTCTATTTAGTTGATATTAATATGATTTTCCACTATTTTGCGCAATTTACTTATAAGGATCAACTGTGTTTTGAGTTATTAAATGCTCTATCCTAGTTTGGCCTCGGCGAATCTTAGATTGGCCTGAATCCGAGATTGGCCTACGACATATACATATAGAGTGACACTGTACAGATACATATTTGAAGAATCCTTAACACTACCTTATACATGTTTGTTTTTACGTTATTAGTACTTTATTGGGTGAAAAAAGTTTCGGGCCTATCAATAAAAGCCTTGCCCGTTTCGCCCATTGGCTTTTTTCGACATAGGAGAGTTTGCCCATTGGTCTAAAAATCCTGGTTACACCGCTATTGGACGTTAGGTTAGGTAGTAAGATTTATTTTATTATGAAAGTATATATGGTGTGTGTGCGAGTGAAGACAAGAGCCTCATCTATATCCACACCTTATATCAATTATATCCTTTTCTGTCATTTGCATACTTGTGAGCTAGTTAATTTTTTTATTTTATAAATCAAAGAAAAATCAGAACAATTATCTTATACCACTTATCACCAATGCTAATATTCAAATCCGCGTGCTGGGGAATTATTGTCGTTGGATTTACAGTCGTGAACAATATTTATAAGGCGTTTTTTATTTCCGTACAAAGTTTAGGTGAGTGATACCTTTTATGATCATGCTATATTGTTGCGACTCATGTATTCTAAGTCTATGCAAAAATTATTGAGTAAAGATCACTGCAATATCTGCCGTTCTAATTTTCATAGTAAAATAGTCCTTCTTCTGTTCGTAAACAACAGAGTTATCAAACATGTATATGAACAGAATCGATCAGGCACGAGTGAGTTAAGAAAAAGTAATGATCCTCGAAGAGACAGGATATTAGAAATCATGAGGATCGTCCAAGATGTCTCGAGTTTATTGACACTACTAGAATATTATATTGCATATTTTGCTAGTACGTGTATTACTAAGCGTGAAATCAGAACTAAAAAACTTTTTATAGTCAGGATCGGTATAATAAACGATTGATCCCGCTCATCGGTACTCATTATACTTGAAAATTTAATAAACTTCGTAAAAAAGAAAAATTTCTTTCTTCTAATCATTTGAAACCAATCGAGAATGATTAAATAGTTTATCATTAATTTTCCTCTTTTTTATAACTATATATAATGTTCGAATTATAGAAAATAGAAAATATGCATACACATAAGAATTGACTATAATCATTCAGAACAAAACAAAAAAAAAGAAAATATTTTCTATGTGTCAGAAGATCAAATATACTTATTATCTGATACATAAGAGATTTTCTTTCTTTGCTTTTTTTTGGTAAATAAAGATAATAGATGCAAAAAAAAGAGATCACTGTTTATCAATTATTATTTTTCTTTTCGCTTTATATAGATATTGTCTATGGAATAAAAATAAACAAAGAAAAACAAATTATTTTAATGATGTTTTTATTTCTTTCATGAGATTAGAAAGATAATGTGTTTCTGTTGATTTATCATCAATTAAAATATCATTTTGAGAATTCTAAATAAATAAAAATAATTTAATTTGATTTTTAATAAAAATCTTAAAATAGACATACTATTGATTTAAATAAAAGAGCTATTAGTTGTCCAAGTATTGTTTCAGCATATAAAGATGCAGCTGAATTAATTTTTTCAACAACTAAATTAAAAATTTAAATATAAAAAACAATTTCAATTTATTTTCTAACCAGTTAATCGATAAGATTGACAAATTCTATTAATTATTGATAGAAAATCTTGATTAGATGATGGAATACGAAGTTGTGATTGACATGTCAATGTACCCGAACCCATCAAATAAACGAATACCATACTTTTAAAAAAAATATATATTCATGTTAAATAACCTAATAAAAAAAACATATTCTTACGAATCGATAGTCTTTCGTCGTAAATATTGTGAACAAGGTAAATTAAGTTTAAATTCAATTCAATCTGTTTCAATTATATTTAATTTCTAAATATATTTGTCAAAAATGAATATAATAAGTATCTTTTTTTATTTTTTTAACATACATTTATAGAGTAAGTCAATGGTGTTTTTAATTTTTGAGAAAATGATATAGCATTTATTGAAAAAAATAAATATGAATATCATTTTGTGAATTAGGAAAAAGACTCATAGATGGAAATGATATTAAATTTGCACTTGTTGTATTTAATAATTTCGAATTCATACTATCAATAACATAAATATTAATATGATCAATAATAAATGATGTTCGATTTTCTCAAAGAAATATTACATCAACTTGAGCTATTAATGGATCTGGATTAATCAAATATTCCTAAAAATTAATTTATAGCAGATTGTTTAAATACATATTCAAATGATTTCAATGGTAAAAAAAGTAATATCTCCGACGTTGGTGTGAGTTAGGGATGGACAAAGTTGGCTTTTTTTGGGATTGGAATCTGAATGGATCTTTTTTGTTTGCATAATAGTCATTTTAGTGAATTTCTCTTCAGATCATCTTCAAAATCAAGTTCTTGATAGGATTAATTCATTGTGTAAGTGTCAGAAACTTCCGAATATCTTCTATCTTGAAACATCAATATTGAAAATTCTGTTACGAAGAAAAGCGAACTCCATCTTTTCATATCTCAAAAGTAAGTTTTTTAAAGATGATCAGACGAAGATTTTCTCTAATCTCAATAGAGTCTACCATCTAATGAGATAAGACTCATGCCAAAAGCATTTTATCACTTAACGAAGTTTCCTCATCTATTGTTAAACTAGGATAATTATTGAATTTACAGTTGTCAAATTATCAGATTGAGCAGCTAGTTTATAAGTATCTTGTTCATTGTATTGTTACTCAGATTGATTTGTTGGATGAATATCATCCGTCATAATGTCCAATAGGAGTGGCACAGAAGTATTTGTATATACTATTGTTGTTATTTCTGATGATGATTTTTTTACTTTGGTTTTCTCTGCAGTAGTAGGAGGAGGAAAAGGTGTAGAAGAAGTTCGACGATTTTCTTCTTCATCAGCTGGTGATAATAATTCTTTATCATCACTACGTTCTCGTTTGTGTTTAGATTTCGATGTTGATGATTGTTCTTGTTTTTCAATTATTTTCTTTTTCTTAGACTTTTTGTTTTGGCTTTTCGGTTAATATAGGAGGTGTTACAACTTGTTTAGGAACTGATTCTTTTAATTGAGATGTCAATGGTGATGGTGTAGGAATCGACTGAATAGATTTTTCATTTAAGTCAATATTAAGTGCTCGATATGGACCATATTTTTTATTTTTTTCAACACGCACATCATTATCATTATCTTTATTTTCACTTTCTGTAGCATTTTCTGGTAATTCACCATCACGTGTTACTTTAACAGTTGAATTAATATCATCATCATCATTATCATGAATTACTTTTGCATCAGTTTTCGATTTTTTTCTTTAAACATCGATTTTCTTCATCAATTTTTCCTTGACGATATAATTGATCAGATAGTGTTACTTGTGAACTAGTAGCATTTGTTCCTTGTGATAATGTTAATTCAATACTAACATTACCATTTATAATATCCGAAGTTGTGTCAGTCTATAATACTGAAGATAAATTCAAGGATTGAACTAGACTATTTGCATTCTATAGAATCAAATGAGCTAAGAATATCCGGAAGATAGTTCAAGTCTGTAGCTTATTGATGTCGAGATATTGCACTTTTACCGTAGTTTTTAAATGAATGTCGTAGTTAGAGCCTGTCGGATTAGTTTCGGATCCGAAAACTTTGAATTCGATGGGTTCTAGCCATGATGCCTCACAGGAATATCATGAAAACTAATTTTCGAATTTTGACTTGGAACTCTTTATAGAAACAGACCTTAACGAGACTAGTTTCTTGTGAATGTTTCAGACCTTGCCATTGCTCTTATGTTAAGATAAAGCTATGATAAAAACTTGTCCGTTATATCTGATGACAAATTCGACGTTCTTATGTCAACATACACGATAATCAAAAGATTTGAAACGTTCATAATAAATTACTAACACTAAAAACTTATTTGTGTCAATTTTGGTTTTTTTTTGAATCTTTTAAATAGAATGGATTCATTTGTTCACTTTGTTTTTTTTTTATTCTCGTTGTTTTTCTAATTCTTCAGCAGTTGGTTCAATATATTTTTTCGATTTTTGATAACTAATGTATCGCCAGAGTATGAATTAAAATTATAATTTTCTCCGTTATCATCATAAAACAAAACTTTTATTTTCATAATATGAACTTGTTGTTATCGATTCATCTTCACTGTTTGATTGAGGATCATTTATTCAACCATCCAAATCCAAAAACTTTGAGCTTTAGCAACAATTGGATTAAGAACATCATCAAATAATACTGATAATTCATTAACATTAAATTCAGATTTTTCAATTAATTATAATGTTGTTTTAAGAATATGTAAAATAACACTTGGCCTAAATAAATAGTTTCTTTTTTTTAAATATTTGATATTTTAAAATAAAAATAAAAAATGGCCTACTCGTTCTTGTGCTTCGACATCACCACTTGATAAAAATAGAGACATTTTATCAATCGTTAATGAAAGAAGTTGTTGAATTAATGTTTCATCATTATTCGATGATTGAATTAAATATATTATAATTTATAAAATATTTTGATTTTTTAATGACTATAGAGAAAAGAAAAACAAGAATTCTTTCAATTAATTTTATTTTTCGTTATTGACTTACGAATGAAATTCACTACAAATCCATGCAGCAGCATATAAAAGTTCGGAGACAGTTGTAGAATTTGAATCATGAATAAAAACATAATCATTTTCAAAAAGAATTGCCTGAAAGAATAGAAATAAAAAAATTTTTTCATGATTTTATCTTTGAAAAATTTCTATCATTTGATTACAAGCAAATGAACGAATAGATTCAACACGAACAGCAACATCAAGCATTTGTAAAGATATGAGATTGCCATGTTTTGTACTTTCAAGACGAGTTAATTCAACCAATATACTAATATATCTATAGTGATAAATAATGTTTTTTTATTAATAAAAATTAAAAAATAAATGTAAACCATTCAAAATTAGTTATATGTTAATAATCATTTTGACTACATATTTCAATTATTTTTGAAAGTAATTCATCTCGATAATGTGATCCTTCAGATTTATCCATATGAATCATTAATTTATGTACGATGTCTATTAGAGCTTTTCTTGTTACCTGAACAAAAACAAAATTCATAATCAAAATTAAGTTTTTTTTCAAATATTGAATGATCAGATTTTTTTTATTAATAGTTTTTCTCCATCGAATTCTCATACCATCTCAAACAAAAGCTCAATTAATTAAAGAGATCAGTTATTCATGTTTCACTCAGGGTTGCCAGGTCAAAAATTTAGAAATCGGAATTTTTTATAGAAAAATTCGGAAAATTTGAAGAAATTCGGAAATTTCTTTTAATTAATTCGGAAAAATCTAAAGTCAAGTTTTTAACATTTATGGTAATAAATTGACCGTATTTATGTTAAAAGAATATTGTCTACATCACACATAATTTACTTTTGTACAATTTATTCATGAAAAAAAGTTGAATTGTTACATCATTATTAAGGTCAATTATTTTCTAGAAAATATAGGTATTCGAAAAAAAAAAATAAAGTATATACTATATATATAGTTCAAAACACTTCTATAAGATACAAATATGCATTATTTATTTCAACTGTCGTTCACTAATTGTAGGTACATGGTGGAATGGGTAGTGGGATGTTCGCCAATAAGACTTTCGCCAATAAGACATTCGCCAATGGCGAAAGTCCCGAGGGTATATTGGCGAAAGTACAGTGGACTTTCGCCAATTGGCTAAGTTCCAGGGAATGTATTGGCGAAAGTACAGTGGACTTTCGCCAATTGGCGAAGTTCCAAGGAATGTATTGGCGAAAGTACAGTGGACTTTCGCCAATTGGCCAAAGTGAGGTGGACTATCTCAGTTGTCACGGAACAATATTAACACGTTGACTGTCCTCATGAGAAAAAAATAGTACTTGTTCTACATCCACTTTTTATTTTCTTTTTAATTTTAAAATATATAATTTTTTGGAGTGTATTACGTTTATATACCGCAAAAATAAGTTTTAAACATATCTTCAATGTTTTTTTATGCAACACATATGATTCAGCTGTCTCTCTTAGATCAAATGCTTCTTTTATTTTGTTTTATATTGAAACACTTTTTTGTAATAAAAACATCTGAAACTGAGCATTCACTTTTTTTCTCAAAATAAAAGCAAAGCGCTATGTTTTTTAGTACTTTATTATGCTCAGTGCATCATATGTGATTCAACCAAGAACTAGAATACTTCCTGACATCGTACCGATACGTCCCAATAGTTCAAATCCAGCCGGTTAGTTGCGTCTAACAAATTCCAGCTTCAAATATCATATGCTGCGTATGCATCATATGTGATACACGGAACGTCTCAGTCCAAAGTATCGTGCATCACATATGATGCACCGGACAATCAACGTGTTAATATAGGATATATGTCAACGCTGAAGTTAATGTTATTGGAATATATATATCATAGTTTGCACACATCGATGTAGGCGAGAAAAAATTTTTTTAGTGTACGTCTGATTTACAATGAATTGCTGAAAGCTCACTGTACTTTCGCCAATTGGCGACAGTCCGGGAGTATATTGGCGAAAGTACGGGGAACTTTCGCCAATTGGCGAAACTCCACGGAATGTATTGGCGAAAGTACAATGGACTTTCGCCAATTGGCGAAATTCCACGGGATGTATTGGCGAAAGTACAGTGGACTTTCTGCAATGGCGAAAGTCCTATTGGCGAAAGTCTTATTGGCGAAATTCCGGAACCCCGGTGGAATGTCATCGACTTTTTGGAAAAGGATTTCATACATGTTTTATGAAAATCACTATTCATATGTTTTTTAAGAGCTGTTTTACCACCGCATCGAACACTAAAAGATTGTAAACATGCTTTGCATCGAGCTGGTGTTTGATCTTTTTTAACTTCTTCTAACCAGGAAGAATATTGTTTCATATTCAACTGATCCTTTTTTTAAAACAACTTTTCCTTTAATTTTGGACCAACTGTTACTGTGGTTGCTGTTAGTGTAGCAGTAGAAATTGTTGAAGACATCATTTCTTATTCTTCTTCAACTGTGTTGACACTCAAATCTGAATCATCTGCTTCACCATTCATAAATAAAAATGATCAAATCTAAAACTTAACGACCATTAAGCAAAGCACTATCTTCTTTTAAGCCTAAAATTTAGTCTGTCCAGAAGAGAATCAATGATTTCTATGACTTTTTTTCGAACTAGCCTCAATGCAGCACAGTAGGCAGTCATTACATAAGAAAAGAGATGGTGCACTACTTATTATATTTTACTAAATTGCAAGATAAAGTATGAGATCCAAAAAATGTTAAAATTCGGAAAAAAATCGGAAAAGAATCCCAATTCGGAAGGATTCGGAAATTCGGAACGCCTTCGGAAAAAAAGTCAAAATTCGGAATTTTTCCTGTCATTTCGGAAGATCTGGCAACCCTGGTTTCACTCTACTTATTTAAAAGAATTCCGACAGAAAAACTCGGTAAAATGGTAAGAAGTTTCTACCATTTTCTCGAGTTTTTTTACTGGAAATGGTGCGTATTTCTTGATCTGAGTAAAAGCTAATAGATTGTTTTTATGGCAATCTCTTGTATCAATAAACATTTTTTTGTATTTCAAAAATAGATAAAAACTACAGTAAAATGATTACGAATGAAATCCATAGACTAATAAACATAAATCATATTAACCTTTGTTTTTAATGACACATCTAAATCATACAAAGAATTTACAAAAAATTAATTCAACTAAAACTACAATAGTCATTGGAAATAAATAAGAGTTTGTAATGATCATTGTTTCATATTAATTCATAACTTTTTTTATACAGAAAAGCTGTCCTAAAGCACAATTTCTATGTAATAAAATACGAGCCGATGCTGACCAGAAAATTGTAAGAACTTGGAAGCAGAAATCCGACGGCTAGCTCTGTCCAATTACGATCTATGCTGATCGAAACTAGTAAAGTCCGGCCATCGATTTTCTATTATTTTCCCAAGTTTTCCAACTGAAAATCTATAGATCCAGATGCCGACATCACCAAATAGAGATCTACCTTCTGTTGGCATGGTCTGTCTGTCCCGACCTGTGTGTACTTTCTGTCAATGTGACATTACTATGCAAAACATCTATTGGTTTTATACAGTAGATCGTCACTGTCTGGCAACGACAAAAGATAAAATATTAATATAATAATAAGAATGTTTTCAATGTATTTAATGAAATAATTAAAGAAGACATCAAAATCTGTCCTCTAATATGAATATAAATCAGAAATAATTTTTAGCTTCTGATGTATGAAAATATTCGCAATTTTAAAGATATTTTTCTAAGCTATTATGATAACAGTATGATGTTAATATATCATAGGAGAAACTAGAACTAGATATCTGACTACAGTACAAGTGAGTAAAATCTCCTTATATATATTGATTTATTAATCCACTCATATTCAAAATATAAGAAATTTCTTGTTTGCTTATTTTTTTTCATTTTTCTACAACAAATAAAATCAATAGCACGATTGAATTTTTTTTCCTGCAATATTTATTCACGAAAATTAATATAACCTTTTTCTATTGTTAGAAAAGAGGTCAGTCGAAAAAAATAAGTATTCACATAGCACAAACACCGTATACCTCGATATCTACATTTCCTCATGGAAAAAAACGAACTTATTAAAAATTTAAAAAAAATAACAAGCAAGTTCGACAATCTGTTTGAACGTCTGTTATTTTTAATATCTTTTTTCTATCGAATTGATTATTTCATATTTGAATACTTTTTTGCCATTGATCTTTTAGCTAATAATTCATTTTCTTACCATTCGAGAAAGAAGATCAAGACAACGCATTATTAAATCACTATGTGATTGAATACTTTTTGGATGCGTATGTGAGATTGTCGACATAGCAAGTAAACCAATATATTTTACTAAAAAGATAATATAAAAATTTTCTTTTTATTTGTATAATGAATATATTTCATACAATTTCGAGCTGAATCTTCGATAAGTATTCGAAGTTTTTGTACACATAGTTGAATTGAAGCATTATGATTTGGTAAATCCGATGAAATTGGAACAAGAACTTAAATAAAAACGTATTCAATTAAAATTTATTTCTTTATTTCATTTTACTAGCAATCACAGTATTAATACATTCATATCAAAGAGACATAGCTGAAGTACTATGAATTAAATTTGTCAATAGTTCTATGAACTTTTTGCCTAAACGAAGTTCTAATGGTGTTAATACACCAAACTAAATACAAACAAGGAAAAAGAAATCCGTTCGAAAACAAAATAGTTAAACAAATTTCATTTACTAATTTAATAATTTTAATAAGCACTCAATTGTTAGTTGGTGTTGTCAAAGAGAAAACAACATTGGAGCTAAAGTAAGATAATTTTCTGGATTACGTCTAGCTAGTTTACAAATAACATTCACAGCAGCTGCTTATACATCTGAAAATAAAATGTTAAAATTCTCTTTTTTATATTTAATCAATTTATCTAAATCGGAATCTTCAAGTTTTTCATTTAAACGTGGAAATGCTGATTTAAGAACATCAAGATTATTAAGAAATATTTTATATAAAAGTAGAATAGCTCATTTACGAATATATAGTTTTGTTGATATCATCTAAAAAAATTTATTTAAATAAATAAATAAAAATAAAAATACAATTATTTCTTACAAGCGTCATTATTTCATTAGCTAAATCACGTACAAGATCACTATTGATAAAACATGAAAG